AACCTTATGCGATCACGGCCGGTTCCGGTTCGGCTCGTGGTGGTCTGCGGGATATAGACGGACCGCCATAATGTCCCGGACGAATATCATAAGTCGTCTAACCACAGTCGGAAGGACAAAAAGGGACTAATACGACGCAAACGCACTAGCGTATGTAGGTATGGAATTATATAAAAAATATTTAAAACGATGTGTGTTTTCTGGAATAATATAGCGTTTTGAAATAAAAAAATACCTCCATAATTGTTGAATTAACAACGATTTGAATACAATAATAACAATGAACACATTAAAAAAATTATTTATTCTGGTATTTAAAAAACAAAAAAATAAATAAATAGCTCGTATTGGCATATAGGTAGTTGGGCACAGGTGCAGCTTTTATTATATTCGAAACCTTCGCATTTACGGATACCGAAAAATGGGCAACATTCGGTCAAGGCTTTTGATCACACATTTGTGCTGTTGATTTCTCGAAAACCGTTTAAATATTTTTTTTATGTGCTGATYTAAAAAACGACGTGATATATACATAACAATATTTTTTATTATTCGAATGTTTTCGAGGGTTTAACTGCCTTTCTGATAAATAAAAAACTAAATCCAACTTATAGCCATGGTCTTAATATTATATATAATTTTCAATTCTAATATCTCATTAGTATTTATAAAATATCACCTGTACCTTTATCCTACAATATTAACATAGATCATAAAATATTGTCAGACATCAAAATAATCGWAGCCTATGCATACTGAAAACAAAATGTTATTAAACGGCTTTTATCATAACAACTCTTTTAAGCGTACCCGAAGCAACAAAACCATTACCTCACTACGGCATTGCCAGTATTTTGCTTTGGGGCTAATAGTAAAAGTTAAGCTGGGGAAGGTTAATTAGGGTACGAACCCTCATAATTTTAGTGTGCCGATGCCGCGGGTGATTCACATTTTAGACTTTTGCTGCAGCATTCATACAAATTACAAATTTAATACATATTTGACCTAMGTCATACGTCCACAAGCACATCGAAATTATTTTCACATTTTTCTGAAATCTCAGCTCCTCTACCTACACGCCACTTCTACTCGACATGATTTGTGTCATTCGTCATACAAATGTTAACAATATTGTGTTGTGGTGTAACGAAAGAATAAAAAATTTTGTAATTATCTTTCCACTGCAATAGACAATACCTTTGATTTTAATTTAAATCGATAGTTATTTTACAGTTATCATTTGAATTTAACTCATTATCATATATTTTTTGTATTCTTGTATTGTTAAGAGAACGTTACAAATCCATTAATTGCTGTCTCCACCTTACAAGCACACATAACATAGAAAATTTACGCAAATTAAAGTTAATCGACTTACTGCAAAACTTTATGTTGAGTACGTCATTATCCATGTTTGTATGTGTGTGTTTTACGATACTTCAATTTTGTACCGAGTTAAAAAAAAAATGAGTATATAAAAAATGTTAAATTTAAAATGCTCATAATTCACTTAAAAACTAAGCCATTGTAAAAAATACACGCACAAACTCGGATAATGTGCGCTTACCATTGAGCGCTTTCTCTTAAACATATTATTTTCTGCACTGCACTTGAGCCTTAAATGCGTTTATTCGAATAAAAAAAAAATATATAATTTAATATTCTTATGTTCGTCTGTTGTCCGTTCTCTCGGGCGCCGCAGGTGGAGCGCATCGTTTCGCTGGCCGTGCCCATACTGTTCGGCATCATCGTGGTGGTCGGACTGCTTGGCAACCTGCTGGTGGTGATCGTGGTGATGGCCAACCAGCAGATGCGGAGCACCACCAACCTGCTGATCATCAACCTGGCGCTGGCCGACCTGCTGTTCATCGTGTTCTGCGTGCCGTTCACCGCCGTCGACTACATGCTGCCGTACTGGCCGTTCGGCGACGTCTGGTGCAAAATGGTGCAGTACCTGATCGTGGTGACCGCGTACGCKAGCGTCTACACGCTGGTGCTCATGTCSCTGGACCGTTTCCTGGCCGTCGTCCACCCGATCGCCTCCATATACGTGCGCACCGAGCGGAACGCGTCGTCCGCCATACTCGTCACGTGGGTGCTGATCGTGCTGCTCGCGTTACCTGTTCTCGCCAGACACGGCGAGGTCACGTACACGTTCTCCAGCACCGAGCACACGGCGTGCATATTCCTCGACCGCGACCAGAAGACCCGACCGGACGGTTACAACAAGCCCGCGTACCAGGTAAGTCCGCGCGCGTGAAACTTAAAATGTCATTAATGTTGGGGATGGCTTATCTTTATCGTTTGCATTTGTGCAAGCGCGTGGTTATAGTGATGATAGAGTATATTATCATTCTTATGATCTTATTTTTTTAATGCTTATAGATAAAGTGGAAACTTTTAATAGGTACTAGTTTTGACAAGAGTCACATGGGTATAGTTAATTTAGAACATTTGATGGTCATTTGTAAGGCATACTCGCATAATCATCAATTAATGTGTTTTTGAGGAATATGATTATCTGACCTATTTATTAATTCGGTATTGGTTAGTAATTATAAAAAAACAGYGGATAAGTAAGTAGTTATCGCTCTGCTGTACAGTAGGTCACAAGTGGGTTACTGTAATGAAACTAAATTTGAATCCACTGATATTATATCATTGTAACGAAAAACGATTCTAAGCGGAGACGGTTTATCTGTCTAGGATATATTATTATAGATTATTATTACTTAATAAAATATTTGACTTTCCGGCGGACATTTTTTTTTTTTTTTGATAAAGATAGACAAACTTATTACGAGGAATCTTGAATTAAATTTTCAAATATTAGATTTAAAAAGAACAATTTTATGAATTTCTATTTTAGGTGATTTGAACATGTCGTAATTTTTACATATTTAGTAAAAATTTTAACTTTAAAATAAATGCTTATAAAAAAAATCGTGCCTGTGTGTTTTTAATATTTTTCAACTGCTATTGTAAAAATATGTCAGGAGCCTTGTATTAAATTTTTAAGCTTTTTTACCCAACAAATAAATTGCTATCGGAATTAATTTAAATAAAAACTAATAATAATCGAAAATTGCATTTGACTATAAATAGTTCAACTTAAGTCGAAAGTTTTTGAAAATTTTATGTTGGATACGATTTTGTCGAAAATTGATTGTGCGTAAAAATTCCCGTTTTTTCCTTAATGTTTAGTTTTTTTTTTCTTTTAAGTCAATTAAGGCTTCAACAACACAAGTTTTTAGCTTACTTTAATTGAATGTCAAACAAGAAAAAAAAAAATGCATATATTACAATTTAGTATGAATTTTACAGCATATGTGTTCTCATCTTTGAAGGCATKGCGGAGAGAAATAGGATTTTGAAGTATCTTGCGTGCTTCAGTGTATTTGGGGCAGATGATGACAATGTGCTCAATCGTTAATGTTGTGTTGCAAGTATCACATATTGGTGCTGGTTCTTTTTTTATTAGATATACACGGGCTAAGCGAGAATGACCTATTTCGGCTCGAGTACCGGTTAACTTCTTCTCTTCTTTCTTGTGCCGGTAGGGTTTAATTTCTTAACGAATAATTTGTATTAAATGTACATAAAAAACCAAAATTGATTTTGTCGAAAACTGATTATGCGTAAAAATTCCCGTTTTTTCCTTAATTTTTAGTTTGTTTATCTCGATTATTTAGAAAAATATTGAAAATTTTTACTTTTGATCCCCCAAAGTACCAACTAGATTTACATTTTGATCTAACGAGATAGTCGAAAATCGAAGCATTTTTACTGCCTCAAAACGTGAAGACAGACACAAAAAAAAAGCACACACACCTCATGGCAAAATCAATACATTCCTCGCTCCGCTTAGAATCTAAAACGCATACAGCCGTCATCATAATATAGGCTTATTGTATAATGTGTAYATTTTTGTCGACCCTCATGTTGATTATCAATTTACAAAATTATAAGACTCTACGAAKAAAAATTTACTTTTATTTCTGTTTGCTGAACTCGGATTGGATTTATCAATTCTAAATTCCAATTTAGTGCTCCAGTACATTTTTAGTTTTTGTTTATTTATTGTTGTAAGTTAACATCACATGATTGCGCCATGTTCTTTGAAAGTTTTTTACTTAAATTGTAAGCAATGTACTTTGGACTTCTAAAATTCAAGTTACAAGTTACGTCCATTTGATTTAAAAACCTTATGTTTAAATGATATAAATAAATAACGTACATTATACTTATATACATTATACATATATTATTTTCTATACATTTTGTCAAGACAGTACGATATATTTAACTTTTAAATATGTGATTGAAGCCAGAAAAAAATATTTAAGAAGTTGAAGTCGATTTTATTAGAACTTCTATTAAGTATAAAAATAAATCATAACTTACAATAAAATCTCAAATAATGTCAAGAAGACTAGTATATTATATTAATGCAATATTTAACTAGGTAGCCTGTATATATTTAGGCTATACCTAAATTATTTTGTTTAATCTAAATTCTGAGTTTCCTTTTAATTAGATTGTTTATGCATAATAATGATCTTAATTGAATATGAAATTTTCTCGTGCATTAATTTTCGCATAGTATAAAAGCTTAAATTAAGATATATTTCATAAGAAAAAAATAGCRAGAAATTCAACGTAATTTAATGTGTTTTTCATGGAATAGTGGAATACAAAATCCAAATCATGTTATTTTAAATTATTTGGTTTAACCATGTTCATATTCAATATTTCGTTTTATYTGTTTTATTTTAAAAGTATAATACATATATAATTTGTCCAATAAGCATAATAAAAACTATTTRGGAAGGTAAAATATTGTAAAAATCAATAAATATGAAACCATTAAAMCTAACCTAACTACAGCTAGTTATTTATTTCCTAGACTAGATTGTAGATCCCAAGTAAAATGAACCAGATACCGGCTKCTGGTTTTACAAACTGTTGTCATCACATTTAGTATTATTTTATTATGGTTTAGTTGATAATCAACAATATTGCAAACAATGTATTCATAGGTAACGAAAACACGCTTATCAAACAACTCGACAATTTTGGGATAAACTAAACTTTTTTAATAACATACATAGTACATACTATTCAAATTGAACGATTTACCTTTACGCATACAACTTCATAGGTAACTAACCTATCGAATTCAGTGACGTGCTAAGCTACAGTGTACCAGTATATTGTGCTATTGGGTGTAAGCAGGCGCGGATCTAGAAATGAAAAAAAGGGGGGGCTTCAGCCCCCATAGCCCCCCCCTTGTATCCGCGCTGGGTGTAAGACTATAAAGGGTAAACTTTTATAAATGTGTAATATCTTACCTTTATATTTGGTTTTTGCATAATCGATTGAGCTCAAAAACCCGTATAACCCAACGGTAGATTTCATCAAAGCATTTAAAACAAATTGATGTTTTAAGAAATATTATAACGATAATTATTTGACTTCAACAGCGCGTATGATAATCAATCACATCGCAATCTAAATATTTGAGAAACCACGTTTGTGGTGATTAATGGGACGCAAATATACTGAAACTAAGAAACGTTGATCATATAAAGTATCTTTAACTTTGTGCTACATACGTATCTCAAAATATTGTTGAATACATGCGTACCTACTGTTATTCCATTGATCGTATAGCGTTATTCAAAATAATATTTTTGAACGTGCATGTCATGTATACAATACCCATACATACCTAATAAAACATCAAATAACTAGCAATTAAATTAATTAACGTTATTTATTTTACGATCGCTATGTAAATCGTTTAGATGTATCCATACAAACAAATAAAATGCGYGCCATAAATATTTTTTATTATATTTAAAATAAGTAATAAATCATTAGTGCATACTGTATATATATTAGTTTTGATGAAAATAAATGAAAATTCCGTGCATTATCGTCTATATGGTAAAATAAAACAAACATAAATATTTATTTTTAGTTTTTAATATCTTATTGTCACAGTCACATTATTTTGTGAAAATGGGAAACTACTACATAGTTATAGTGTGATATACGTTAAACCATCATTATTTGCATTGGAAAGAAATTTCGAAACATAGTATTATACATAATATAGAAGAACATAAAGTTAGATTCATATAATTGTATATATAATATAATATTAATGTCCTTGTCCATACTGCATAAAGCACCCATTATTAAAATAACGACTATGTTGTGTACTTACTAGTTACTACTTACCCATCTCATATAGTTTATATAACCTCTGTAATTCAGAGGGAATTTTGTTTTTCTTTGCAATGTCTCTTAGTCTCAAAGATAATATATGGTAATTAAGTTATAAAAACTTTAAAAAATCTGTATTACTCAAAAGAAGTTAAAGTAGTAAGGATTATGATAAATTATAATTACCGTTGTAATTTATATAAACGAACAAGGGACTTAATAAATTTAAAAATGAAGAAATAAAATGCGAATACTCATATAAATTTTAAATTGATTTTATTCCTTAAATATTGATAAATAATTTAATAAAACAATTTATTCCATAAATTAAGAACCAAGTTATTATTATTATTAATTTTAAATGCAACGGTATACCAAAATAAAATATTCGATTGGTATTGTCTTTCTTAGATATTAATTTTGAATTGAATTTTCATTAAGGTCGAACTTTCGCAGCTTCTGAGCTTCCAGCCTACTAATAACTTTTTCATTTTAATGTTAAAATTTAATTTAATATATTTAATTTAATATATTTAATTAATTTTCATTTTTTGCTTTTTATTTGTTTAGAAAATTTTACTTAATTTATACAAACTTTGAAAATTTAGATTTTATAAAAATAATTTATACTTCAAAGTTCAAATACAGTTTGTCACACATTTGAATTTGAATCTAAAATCTAAAATATCATTAATATATAAAATTACATGCGTTAGATGCATTACCATTATCAATGTAGGTTACGGTAGATTATCAAGTTTATACATAATAAAAGTTTTGATTAGCATCGCGTTGATTCGTTGGTGGTTCATTAGTTTGACTTGCTTTTGTAATCATAAGTATGAACTTCTAACATCTTGATATTTCACACATATTATATTATTACGGCAACCAAGTTCCAATCAATTTTTAAATTGCTACCCTAATTTTAAGTTTCGTTAAGAGGACGCTACACCTGCATGTGTTGTCTCCGTCTTACAAGTGCGTAACATTACAAAAACTGTTTCGCGC